CCTTAAGAAATCAACCAACACGATAAAAGAAGTGATTAAGCGTGATTTGAAATAAGGGAAAGACATGAATCCTAATCATACATGGCTGCTAGGCTAATGTTAGATTGATAGGTACTAAATGTTCAATAACAATGACACCATAAGGAAACGACGCTCAAAGACTCCCTCTTTATGCAAACCAATTTGAATCATGCCATTATAGCTCAACCTATATCTCTCGTTTTTATTTCACTCTTTTCATTCAAGTGCAATCACATTAAGCCCGTTATTTGTACACGCAAATAGTAGGGAAATCCATTAGAGACTATGATCCTTTTCTTTTCTTTAGCACGTGGTTCTGGTATTTAAGTGGTGCAACCCTATTTTCCCCAATTGTGGTTGCGGGGGATCGGATCGTAGCCCGTCCTACCAAGTCCAGTACCAGTGACCTCTAGACCAACTAACAATGGGTACTTATTATTAAATCTTTATAGGCGTAACAACTGTTAGGCTAAATGACCAGGTGAGGATCACCTAACTTATAAGGTTATTATTCAATTAAATCATTTATTTATTAAAAATGAGATCATTCACTTATATTCATCGACTCCCTACGTAATTTGTGTTTAAGATGGTGTTGTCTGCTAATATAAACTACTTAAGAGATACTTTGAAAACTTGAGCCTAAGGTCTCGACATAATGGGTACCCAAATCGATATCACATAATGAGGGGGTTTTGAGTGTCATAACAGTATCAATTTTATTGAAACTTTCCCAAGTATCTCTAACACAGTCTAAAGTGTGACAACCTATATACTTTCAGAGTGTGTGTGCCATGTATCCAAGAAAATTTTTGTTGCAGGTTAAAATTTTAAAATTTTGAGGAAATTCAATAACAACTTAAAAACATGCATACAAAATCGACATCATATGCAATGACTCGACCAAATACTAAAAACAAATAAAATCCTAAAAACATGCAATAAACTAGAAAACAATAAATCAAAATAAGAAGCGATAAATGGAAAACCGTAAAGTTCCTTCCCACACTTAAACCAAACATTATCCTCAATGTTTCAGTAAAAAGTGGGAAAAGGAATAAGAACATGATCAATGCTCGCCGTGATAGTTGCCTACAGTCAACTGATAGGTGCCAAGCGATTGATATCTTTATTTTCTGCAAACTCAAACAAAAGCAAAAACATTAAATTAAAAACTCGTGGGTTGCCTTCCATGCATCACTTCTTGTAACGTCGGTAGCTCGATAACTCAAGAGTGTTAGCACTCATGGTGATTCTCTCAAGAATGACTCCTCGATCTAATTTTTAATCGTCTTTGGTTTCCATGGTCACTTATCAAGCCATCTCACATATCCCTCACCTTTTCTTTTTATTCTTCTGTGGGGTGGTTCATTCTTTTGAACTTGTAGTGGTAGTTTTGGATTTGTCTTGAGTATCTACTTTTCAAGTTTGGGCTTAGTTATTTCATCCACCACCTCAAAGGTTAACCTTCCCCTCTTAAAACTGTTGATTTTCCTAGTTGCATGGTTCTCTAACTTTCTCTTTGTATGCAAGACTTCAAACAAGGGCGTATTGGTGTGGATATTTTCCAATACCTCTACATACGTTTTGGATTTGGAGTCTACCTTAGTGTCTATGAACCTTTGTAGGAAATGGATCGATGGGGTAGGAGGAATAAAAATATGTGTTTCCTCCTCTACCTCCTTGACAACCTCCCTTTCGGATGGCGTCAGTGTATTTTTCTCAATCTCTACTCTTTTCTCACCAGAACTCTTCTCAACCTCATTATTACTCTATTCAACCTCATAATCACTCTCCTTAGGATTTTTAATTTGTTTTTCACTACTGGTTGTTACAACATCCACATGCTCCTTAGGGATATTTGAGTCTCCAATGCCATGTTGTGAGTCGCGAGGGACTCAACTGCATTGTACAGTTGCCTAAGGGTTTCATTATTATGGAGACTTTGTTTTCTAAACTCTTCATTTTGGACAGTTTGTGTCTCTATATAGTGTTCTATCATATATTCTATCCTAGAGTGAGTTAGCGTCGCATCGAAATCCTCCATTGATGTTTTGAGGTTAAAATTATGGGATTCTTGCGGTTCCTCAAAGTGAGTTAGCGTCGCATTTTATGTCTCCACAAAGTGCTCCGTCATCATAGTTTCTAGCCTGGAGCGAGTTAGTGTCGCTTTGAGATCCTCAATTAATGTGTCGAGAGTATATTTTTGGGATTCTTGTGATTCCTCAAAGTATTGGGCGCGGTGATTTTAGAGGAAATTTGGTTGAGGATAAGTTAGTGTCGCATTTTAATCCTCCAATATTCTTGCGACTCCTCAAAATATTGGGATTGGTAGTTGTAGAGCTGATTTGAGTGAGAGTGAGTTAGTTATGCATTGAAATCCTCTATCAGTATTTGGAGGTCGGATTTATGGGATTCTTGTGATTCCTCGAAATATTGAGAATGGGAGTTGTAGAAAAAATCTGGGTGATACATAGTAATTAAGTTTAGAGTCCCTTAGTCTATATAGTTCAATAATGGAAATAACAATATTGATTGTTGGTCCACGACAATAACGCCAAAAACTTGATGCGTCCACAAGTGCACGGAAATATCAAAGTAATATAAAAGATTTCCGAACCCACAGAGACCAATGTCAACCTATCGTAATCTATCGTCACTTTGTAAAGCTAAGGCTAATGAATATTTGGATTGGATTTTAGGGAGACTAAGAACTAAAACTAAGGCTAATAATTTTTCTTGGGTTTAAGGGAAAACGGGAAATAAATTTAAACGATACCTGAAACTTTAATAAAAATATTCAACGACGGGACACCGATATGTAACTCATTATATCTTGGGGATTCGATAAAATGTTGGCGTAAAAAACTGTCAAAATACTCTTCAATAGAAAATATTGATTTAAAAGACTTTATCTGACACTGTCGTGCTATTAACTCTGACTACACTCTTAAACCAGAATGCTTTGCTGTCTCTCACTCATTTGAATTAAAAGTAATTTTTGGAAATCAACAAGTTCTAATTAATCCTAAAGCGCTCTCGCCGTGTTTAGGATTAATGTGTAGTTTCTACTATCCAGTTAAAATCTCAAATTGTCGCTCTATTCACCCTAACCTTTATTTTCTTTTTACTCTCGCACAAAAACTGTTTTAATTTTAGAATTAGAAACTACAACCAGAAAAATAGTTTATAAAAATTAACGTCAATTATTATCGAATCCCATCTGGACGATGGTTCTTACATACCGGTATCAAACGATTTAGTTAGACATACAATTCACTGAAAATGAATTAAACGTAGCAATTGGAATTAAAAACAACATGGTAATTAAATTTGACAAGTAAAGCAATAATGATAAATAATAACAATCATAAGCAATACGAATAAAAAAACCTACAAAGACTTGAAAATAAATGCAAACTGGAAATAACTTCTAAAATAATCTTCGCGTACAAAACTGAAACTAAATTTGAATTATGCCGGCACACTTGATATTCCAAATACATAATGAAATTAAAAACACCTAAAATTAGAATTGTGATATCTCTTCCACATCGGAAGAGATATCACTTTTACATATAAATTCTCTGCTTAAAATTCTAAGAACAATACTCTGATTGGAAAATCACCGATCCCCTTCATGTAGAACTGCCTTACTTTTATATTCCTCTATTCGTGACCTAAGTGCCCATGACGTGCGTGTAGAAAAATCAGGAAAGTGGCTTCGTGGAAAAAAAATCCGGGAGACTGGACTCGTAGAGAGAAATAAGGAACGCTATTTGAAACTGCTTGAATTCACTTTGTGGCGAGGGCCACACATCTGTGGCGAGGGCCACAACTTTAAGTGGTGACAACGTGTATGCAACACGCGACGAAGTTCAAATAATGTGGCGAGGGCCACGTAAACAAAGCCTGTGGCGAGGGCCACAACCTTAAAACTTCATTTTCTTGCATTTTATTTGGTTCTTGCAATCTATTATGCTTCTTTGCCATTTTTCGTCCTTTTTAGCATATGAGCCTTTTGATAGAGTGTACCTGAAATAAAACAACAATATCGGCGTAACAAGATAAAAAATGAACGAAAACAAAATTAAAATACATGCAAGTCAAATTGAATATACAATATAATTTCGTATTATCACATTAGAGGATGACGTCAAAATCATGACAATCACATATCAATACTTGAAATACCGACCAAACTGCGATAATCAGGTCGGGTGCAGAACAGTCCAAAAAAATTCTTTTCCTACCTACTCTAGAGTTAGTTATATAAACTATCCCCCATCATAAGGGCATCTACTAGAAGTCAAATATCTTTTTATTTTATTTAACACATCTAACAAGACAAAGAAAGGAATATCTTGGAATATAGAGATTTTTTTAAGAGGTTCTTCAAACCATTAGGACTCTAACATGTACAATTCTCATACCATTGGATTAAGGAGTAGCGTAGAATCCTCACTTCAATACACCCTCTCTCCCACTCTCTATATTTACATTTTAGTCCTTCAAAATCTTTGCTTTCATGCATGGATTTCTCCTCCAAATCCAAATACATATATCCAATTCAAGCGACAAAAAAAGTAATAAAAGAAACAAACAAACGCCACGCTTTCTCATAATCGCTCTCATCACCAAGGTAAATCACTTCCAATTCTTCAAGTTTCATTCTTTTTCTTCTTCTTCATCATAATCCATCTTCCAAATGCTATACACTACTTTACTTACCTTCACCATACCTTCTTTTTGTTCCTTTTTAGATCGATTTTGCGCACTTGTTAAGTTTGAAAATTTGAATTTTTATCTCATTTCAGACATGGGTTTTGCAAGATATGATGATTTGATTCAAGTTTTGTGATTTCCACTCGATAATCTCATCTGGGTCTTGCTCGTTTTCACCTTTTGATAACCCATTTCAGTTTCAATTTGCAATTTTTTTTTGTTCTGGTTAATTCTTGAAATTGCGAGGATCAACAATGGAAGACGATCAAGAAGTGATTAAGCACGTTTGTAGAATCTGCTGCAAGAGTTTTCCATGTGGTAGATCATTAGGGGGTCACATGAGGTCACATGATCATGTGAAAACCAATGATCATCATCATGATATTGATGATGATGATGATGATGATGAAGATGATGATGATGATGATGGTGATGATGAGAGTTTTGTTGTTGTTTCTGCTTCAACTACAGTGAAGAAAGAAGAAGGTTGTTCTGAAGGGTATTACGGTCTTAGAGAGAATCCAAAGAAAACTTGGAGAGTACTCAATGATTCAACTAGTGATGATCAAGAAGAGATTTTTGATGTTGTTTTGGACAAATTGTGCAAAGAATGTGGTAGAGGGTTTCAGTCTCGGAAAGCTTTATTCGGTCACATGAAGTGTCATTCGAATAGTAAGAACAATGGTTTTGAATTGGATGAACAAGAGTCTCATACTGATGCTGCTGCTGTTCTTCCGAGTAGAAAAAGAAGATCGAAAAGACGATTGAAAACAAGGTATGTAAATGGTAACAGCTGTTCTTCTTCTGTTGTGAATTTTGCTGCGAATTCAGTTTCTGAGAAAGAGGAGCATGAACAAGAAGAGGTTGCTATGAGTTTGATGATGCTTAGTAGAGATGTAAGATCTTGGTGTGGTCTCAATTCTATTGCTGAATCTTCTGATAATGATGATAATAAATTGAAAAGCTTAGAAATTTTTGATGATGAGAGTAAAGGAAATGATGGATTGAAGATGAAGAAAACTAGAGATTCTGTTATTGAGAATGGAAAGGATAAGAAGAAGAATAAGAATAAGGTGAAGATTGAGGTTGATTCTGATTCGGCGTTTGAGGTCAATGTAAGATCAAAGCCAGGTACTAAGGTTTCATCGGAAGCTGAAATCGGCGCGAAAAAGTCTTGTAAGAGAGGAAAATTCGAGTGTGTTACTTGCAACAGAAGTTTTCGTTCATATCAAGCTCTTGGAGGTCATAGAGCTGGTCACAAGAGGAGCAAAGGATGTTTTGCTTCAAAGATTGATCTAAACAGTGAAAATGAAAACAATGCTGAATTGGAAATGGAAATGGAAATGGAAGTAGATATAAAGATCAATGTTCCTGTTGAGGACATCGTCGAAGAAGTTCCGGAGATAAGGAACTTCCTTGATCTTAATCTTCCTGCTGATGCAAGTATTGCTTATGAAAGAAATGGTCCTTCTGAGATTTACACACCATGGTGGTTAGATGGAAGTAACTTCAAGCAAGAGTCAATGGTAGGCCTACTATCAAACTAGTTCGTAGTTCGGTTCGGTTCAGTTAAGTTTCATTCAACTTTTGAGTATAGATTTGAAACTGTATAGATATAGAATTTCTTTTGCTGTTATTTCATTAATTCTTTACAGGAATCATGTTCTGATTTTTGAGCTTATTTCAAGCTTATTTTGGTTCTGTTCTTCTCTTATTCTTCTAGTAGCTTGCATTACAAGGAACTTTTGATACTGTTTTTTCTTTCTTTTTGAATATTGTAACTTTTTGGAGAGTGATATATGATGATTACTTTGTTCATACTTCAAAGAATAATAAGTTTCTATGCTGCAAAGAGTGATGGTTTAGTCACCTACCATGAAAACCTGACCACACATCTTTGATAATTTTGATGTAGTCTCACTATATGATGTAAACTTATTTTGTGCTATTCTTCACATATGTTTTTATAATTTTTTTCTATGTGTATTCCATGCACTTTTAAGTCAAATTATAGACAATACTACTATTTAGCATATTTACTATAGAGCATAAAAAAAAAAAATGATAGGAATTTGTTTCTCAAAAGTTCTTTTTTTCTTTCAAAATGATCATTCTAAAAAGGATCAAACTTAGAAATTTGGGAATGAGAAGTAGATTGAGAATTTTATTTTCTTCCATCTTTTCTTAGGCCTCGTACGAGCAACTGTGTTTTGTATTTCTTAAGAACAAAAATCAGTTTTTAATTAAATTTTAACATTTTCGAAAAATATCAAACTTCACTAATTTTGATTTATAAAATTTTCAAAATCAATTTCAATTATAAAAGTAAATATTCATCGTAAACATATTTTAATTTAAATTTAAACAACTAATATTTTTGTGCTTTAGAGAAGAAGAAACGGTCAACCGTTTTTCAACACCTGTCCATAGCATAGTAGATTTTGAGTTCTGTTTGGTTGCTATAATAGTTTCACATTTTAGTGTTATATGTAAAATATCGAGAGATATTGAGATTAACCGTATGAGAATAATACTACGGAGATTGTTTATATATATATATATATATATATATATATATATATATATATATATATATATATATATATATATATATATATATATATATATATTATAGTTAATGTGTGACTTACATACAAATGTAAATACATATTCTATCACACCTCTACAATCGAAGCGGGAGGTTGATAGACGCTTAGACTGGTCTGAAAATCTTCAAAAAGAATTTTAGGAAGTCTTTTGGTGAAGATATCGACAATCTGGTGTCGGAAAGGAACATGAAGAACACGGGCTTAACAACGAGCGACCTTCTCCCCAATAAAGTGAATGTTCATCTCAATGTGTTTTGTGCGCTAATGCTGGATAGGATTGCCAGATAGATAGATAGCACTAACATTGTCACAGGACACAAGAGTAGCTTGGAAAATAGGAAAATAAATCTCCAATAGAAGGTTGTAGAGCCAACATGATTCTGAAAGCGCATTAGCAATGTCTCGGTACTCAGCCTCTGCAATGGAATGAGAAAGCGTGGATTGTTGCTTGAAAGGCCATGAAATTAGGTTGTCACAAAAAAAAAACAATAATCCGAAGTAGATCGATGAGTATCGGGACATCCACCCCAATCAACATTTGTCTAGGAAACAAGCTTCTCGATGAGAGAATGATAGAGATGCAAACCATATTGTAAGGTACCTGAACGCAACACATGATGCGTTTCAGTGAAAGCATGTGCTAAGTGCAAGGAGTATGCATGTGAAGACACACCTGCTGAACAATATAGGAGAAGTCAGGACGAGTAAATGTGAGATTCTGCAAAGCACCAACAAGACTTCGATATAATGTAGGATCATCATATGGAGTGCTGGCAGAGGTACTGAGCTTCTGCTTTGTGTCAACTAGAGTAGCAAATGGTTTGCATGAGGCCATGTCTGCTCGAGCATTAATGTCGCTGGCGTAGGTACTATGACTCAGAAACAATCCTTCTGCATGTTTGTTCATTGTAATACCCAGAAAATAAATCAGCGGTCCCAAATTCTTCATAGCATACTCAGAGGCAAGGAGTATTATGATAGATTTGCAAAGGTCATGAGAGGATGTGATGAGAATGATGTCATCAACATAATGTAAGACGTAAGCCATGTCAGATCCACAACGATAGATGAAGAGTGAGTGATCAGAGGTTCTGTGCTGAAATCTAATGGTGCTGACAAAGTCAGCAAAACGCTGATACCAAGAACGAGGCGCTTGCTTAAGGTCATACAGTGATTTTTGCAAGCGGCACACATAATCTAGGTGATGAGGATAATGAAAACCCAGTGGCTGATGCTTATAGAATGTCTCATAAAGATCACCAAGTTGAAATGCATTATGGACATCTAGTTGATGAATAGTCCATGACTTGGACAGGGCAATGGTGAGTACAGTGCGAATAGTGAAGGGGTAAGAAAACACTTAGAGGGGGGGGGGGGGGGGGTTGAATAAGTGACTCTTTTCGTTTTTAAAACAAAGCTCAAACAATAACGGAATAACACAATTATTTTTATCCTGGTTCGTTTGAACTAAAACTACTCCAGTCCATCCGCCAAGGTAATTTCGCTTTTTTCAACAAGGACTTAATCCACTATAATCAACTGATTACAATCACACAACAACTGTTGTGACTAACAATGCATAGGTAAACATACAAGTGACTAACACCACTAAGACTTAAATCCAGTCCTAGTCTGCTTGAGAAATTTGACCAAACTTGGTCTCTCAAGGAACAAAATACAGGAGTTGAATCTTTACAAATAATGAAATAGAGTTTGCTTCTAATCAAGCTATATCACAACTGTGATTTTTCACTTAGAATATAATGCACAAATTGTATGAATAATGAGTTTGTGAGCTTTTTGGATCTTTCACGTAGTTTCTTGCTTCTTTTGAAAATTTGATTGGTTTTCTTGGTTCACTAAAAATTGTTAGGCTTGCAATAAATGTCCTTCTATTTATAGTAGGAACAATAAGATCATTGCTGCCTTCAGAAAAGATAGAGAGCATTAAATGCTTTGCGTGTATTCTTGCAATATTCCATTTTCCAAGAAACTAGTTGTAGGCACTTGAGTGCTTTCAACCGTCTTTGCATTAATGAGCAAACGTCAGAATGTAAGAACATGTTTTCCTTTGCTTTGACAAGACAAGTTGATCTAAATGTTACTTCAGAGTTTTCTCCAATGTCTTTAAGTCAGAATATGCTTCACTCATCTTCTAGGCAGTGTGTTGCTTGCTAAGAACTTTGAACAGTGCTTGCTTTCAAGTTATCTTCTGAACAAGGAGTCTTCTAGAAGTTAGAAGATATATTTAACAAATAAAGTTTCTTACCAGAGTCAGCAGATGCGTTTGAATAAAAGGTTCTTTTATCAAAGAACTTTTTCATAATATTTGCTTAGTACTTTAGAATGTTTTCTGTCAGAACATTAACTAAGACATTCAAAACACATTCATCAGAGCATAAATTATCTTAAATATAATTTAGTTATCATTAAAACTCTTGAGATAGGTCAAAACTAATCTTGTTCTTTCAATCTCCCTCTTTTTGATGATGACAAAAAAATTATTTTAGATAAAGAAAAGAAACGGATTAAGAGATAAGAATCTCCCCCTGAAATGAATATTTCTATGCATAAGACATCCTGAGATTATTTAGTCAGAGTAATACACAACCTTCTTGAATTTCTTCAGAACTTCTTCAAGAAGATAAATCTTAGCTGGAATATTCTTTCAGAGTTAAAGTGATACCTGCAAAAAAAAATAATTCTTTTGCACAGAAGGAATTCTTGCAAATTTGTTAGAATGTCTGAGACTTAGTCCCATAACTGTTAAACAGTGATTAGTTCAAGAATGCACACATTTTCTCCCTCTTTTTGGCATAATCAAAAAGTGTAATAAATGAGAAATTTTGAAAGATTTCATAAAAAATATAAAAATAGATATCCAGAAGTACAAACAAAACATTCAAATAAGAGACAAAAAGAAACTAGGTTTTCTTAGTGACAAGAGCCATCAGAAGATTCTTGATTTCAGAGGCAGATTCGTCTTGTTTCGCCATCCAGTTCTTAATCTCTAGATTTGTTTGACCTTGCTTATCCATGCGTTTATTCAAGACTTCATTCTCCTTCTTTAGCTCTATCAGAGTGTTCATAATGAGTGAGGTAGGAGCAGAAGATGATGAAGCTTCAGTAGAAACAGGCTCAGAAGCAGCAATCGTTGAGTCAGACTTCACAAAGGTGGAAAGCAGAGTGCCCAGATCCATTGCAAGAGTTGGCACAGGTTCAGGTCCAGCCTTAACAGAAGGTTGATTCAATAGAACAATAGCCAAAGGATTTGAATCTTCAGAGGATTCTTCAAATTCATCTTCTGATATGTCCATCTTATCAGCTGGTGTATCAGCAATCATTAGCGAAGACTTCTTATTCCAAGTGTTAGCAACTTCTTTCTTGAAAGCATGCAGAAGTTTGGAAAAGTTGTTCAGCACCTGAAAATGGCGCAAGTCCTGTAACTTCTGTGATTCAGCAACCAAAGTTCTTCTAAAGGTTTCCCATAGAAGGTTTGTTGCTGCTAAGTTCACGCTTCTGGAGCAATCTTCTTTCAGCGGTTGTAACCATGCTTGAACATTTGTTATAAAATTTTGAAGCAAAGTATTTACATCTGGCTGAACAGGTTTAGGGACAACCATTCTGTAAGTTTTGTTTTTCAAGAATTGTAGAGATTGAAAGTCCACTACAGTTCTTAAAAAGCTATTGGGTTCAGGATTATTGGTAGGTTCAGGTTCAGGTTGGTTAACACAAATAGGAGGTTATGATATTTCATGAGGTACAGATGGTTCAGCAGTTTCAGTTTGCTCAAAAGGTTGTTGTTCTGGAATTTGAGGAGTTAAGAGTGGTGTTGTATGTTGTGGTGAAGTGGGTGGAGTGACATCAGGTAAAATTATTATTGTATAAGAAGGAGTGGGAATGGGATTTTGAGGCTGTGGTTGATTCATAGCAAAAAT